TTAGGCCCTGCAGCTTTGGTGTGCGGCCTCGCACGCCAACACATCACTTTGGCGTGCAGGCCTGCACGCCAACCGGCAGGGCCTGCAGGGTATATCCCTGCAGGTCATTGGCGTGCCGCCCCGCACGCCAATTTTCGTTGGCGTGCAGGCGCGCACGCCAATCTGCAGCTGGCGTGCGGATTGGCGTGCGCGAGGGGGGTTGGCTTGCGCTTATCAACCCCCACATGATAGACGAGATGCGAGGCTTGTGTTGAGTTTTTATTCCAGGGGCTATTTAGCTGCCAACTGGGCTCATAACCTATAAGACGAAAGTCTTTGAGGGTTTGATGTGTGTAAGTCACAAGCAGGCGAACAGCGGCGATGACAAGCACAAGAGAACCAACCTTTGAGGGTTTGATGTGCGTAAGTCACAAGCAGGCGAACAGCGGCAATGACGAGCACAAGAGAACCAACCTAAGGGTTGTAGCAGGAACGTGAGCAAGAGCGAGACGTAACAGATACTTTTTGGTTGAATTTCAAGCACACCTTTGAGGGTTTGATGTGCGTAAGTCACAAGCAGGCGAACAGCGGCGATGACGAGCACAAGAGAACCAACCTAAGAGGAGAGAAGATAATGAGACCAGAAACAATGGAAGAGATGAGAAAAAGATAGAAACGGACCTAAGGGTTGTAGCAGGAACGTGAGCAAGAGCGAGACGTAACAGATACTTTTTGGTTAGAGAACCGTTACAACGAGTTATGCAAAACTATATAAAGTATCAATTAGGTTTAAGAGCTACTGCGCATGGCTGCGTACAACTTTGTGAATCTAATCTTATCTTGAGTATGCTTATAGATGAGCTAGAATACAAATATGCTAATAGTCCAAAATTACCTCAAACAATCGCCCAACTCGTCGATCAAGTCGTGCAGTAGTGGGGGTTTGACGGCACATATGAACACAGGCACAGAAAGTGGGACCCAGACCAACACTCACAGCGCAGTGGCAAACAGGAGTTATTTTGAATCTATCAAGACTGATCGTCAATTTTGTGAGTCGACATTGTAAATTCTGTGATGATCAAGTAAATTGCCTGATATCAATTGTCTTGTCTTGATGGCTTGTAGTTCATCTAAACATCAGGGCGTTGGGCACATTTGTCTCGATGCTACTAAACATCATCCTTCATATCGTCAATATCTCCAGAACAACTGATGCCCTGACAGTGTACGCATGATCATCTAGGTCAATAACGACTCTCAAGAAATAAGTGATCGACTAAAAACGGGATGGTCATCATGTTTATGTAGGCCTTACTGGCGAACAGTCGCAACGCTTCTTGGAACCGTGGGGAGTATATTTTCTGGGATTCCAGTCGTATGGCAATGCGTGCGTTTTAGGATCACTCTTTGCAAAAATTTCCCCACTCTGCCTTCCCCCAAGTTGATGAAGAGCTTCAATTTGTCCTCGACATAGTGGAGGCTCCATGTCGATCAATCGGACGCAACCGCCGACTGCTCAAACAGATATGCCTTAGCAGTAGTAAAGGCACGCGAAAGCCACGTTCCCCTTGACGCTTCCGGGGCGAGAGGGCTCAAAGTTCCTGTTACCATCCATTTCGAGCACAGCGACACACTAGTAGCACCAAAGCCGGAAATGACATGAAACCACTTGCAACAAGCTTGTGATGAGCTTTTTTGCCTGGCTTGTGACATGGGATCAACTGATTTCTTCGGATTTTTTGTTTTTTCCCCTGATGACCCTAACTTTTCAAAGTCTCACCCAAATGTGGTGGGCGTGAGGTTTGGCTGAGCACTATGCCCTTACCGACCGCGAGGTCCACGGAAGTTCGATCACCACTAAGCCCCGCATGGGTGAGACTTTGTCAAGTTAGCTGATGACCTGCCTTCCGGAATTTTCACTTTGTCCTTTGCGCCGATTTTTTGTATTTGACTACCAAATTACCCGCATGCCGACTGAGATGTATTTATGCTACCACCTTCTCAAGATGCGTGAGCAGATGTGAGCCCAATTGATCATTCTAAATGTGTCATGGGTAGAGTAGCCTGTAAAGGCTGGGAATCACGGTACATGTTGGCCGTATATACAGCTTCCATCAAGCTGACTGAGAACCTGCTAGCACTGCAGCAGTGATGAAAAGATCAATAACTTCGCGTAAATACGCGGACAGTCATCATGAATGACCAAATGTATCGACTTGTGCTCGTGTGCAGCTGATTGCCAGCGACACGGGTGGAGTCACTCGTACAGTGGTCGGACAATGATCCTGACATGTTCGTCCAGCTAGGGTGCTGTTGAAGTATTAAAAGGACCAGTATGACTCCGAGCTTGCCATTACAGACCTTCATCCCACATTCCATCACTGAATTTACCATTATCAACCACAAGACATTTCTTTGAACATCAATAACCGTACATTCATTTTCTTAGTCACGTTTGATTCACAAACCAACAAGTAACCACCGCCAACAGAATGCGTGTCTCTTGTTTTTTCGTGTCCGCCGCTATCATGCTCGGTGAGTCTTTTGGGACACTTGACTTAATTCTGTGCCTGGGTTTGATACTGACTATGTATGTGTGATTGGAATCTTGATCTTGCAGCTGAGCAGACCAGTGCGCTTCCAATCGGCGGCCTACCTACCCTTGCCAGCGAGGGAAAATACATTCATAGCCTTGCACCCACCTTTCACCCGGTCCCGCTTGTTGGAGGCTTGACCGACAAGCTGCTTGAAGACCCAAGCAAAGGTGGCTTGATTGCGACCTCTGATTTGGTCGGTGAAGACGGCCTCGTTGATACGGACGGTCCCTTGGGCAAGATCACCGGCTCTCTTCGACGCCGACAAGGTCTACCGCTTGTCGGTGCCCTTGGCTCCCTCGCCAACGGCGTTCAAAGCCTCCCCCTACTTGGCAGCGTTGGTTCTGTCGCTCCAGTCACCCAAGGCCTCACCTCCAGAGTCGGCACCTTGGGCGGCGCGCCAATCTCTCCCTCACTCGGTAAACTACCTTCAATCATCAAGCGCGAGAGTGGTATTCCTACCATTCCAGTTATCAGCTCCCTCAGGCCAGTCGTCAGCTCCATGCGCGATTTAAACGCAACCGCCCTTGGAAATGAAGTCACTCACTACAAGCCCTTCACCTCCGGCATGTCGATGCCCAACTTCTTTAAACGAGCCATCGGGCTCAACTCGCTTCCATCGATGGGCTCCTTCCCCGGAGCTAGCAGTCTCACTTCGTTCCCCGGCTTCAGCAGTTTCCCATCAATGCCATCCCTTCCAGGTATGAGTAGCCTACCCTCGATGCCATCCCTTCCTGGCATGGGTAGCTTGACCTCCTTCCCGAGCATGCCGAGCTTGCCATCCATGTCGACCCTTCCCAGTCTGCCCTCTATGCCGTCGGTGCCCGGTATCTCCTCCGCCCCCGGTCTCAGCACTCTTACCTCCGGCGGACTCCCAGGCATGAGCAGCCTTGGTGGCATCCCATGAGTATCACCAGGTAAGAGAAACCCGTTAAAGCTCCTGTGAACTATCCGCGCTCATCGATTCCTCTCCCTCTGCGTCTAGAATTCGCTCTCCGGTAGAATTTATGTTTAATTTTTTAATTTTTTAATTCTCCAATTATCATGTATCTCATCTGAGCGTTACACGCATGATTTCAGACAGCCTAAACGTGCCCGACAACTTAATATAATTTATCGATGTACCCTCATCTTTGCTTGATTGAAAACCATCATCAAGTCTAATGTATTCCTTGAGAGGCACCCGTGCAGCAATGCAACTTTCCCTTGTAATTCCAACACAATTGCTTTGCTGTTTCCCTTTGAATCAAGAGCAATATCCTTGAACCGATCCATTTCTTGGAGAAGGGCACATTTCTTCCCTTCCAAGTTTTTAAGTCCGGGCGGAACAAGGAATGCCAAACCCAAATGAAATTGGTGCAACTGCGTGACCGCTCACGCCTTTGGGGGGATGCGAGCGCACGCAGGCATAATCGTCTTTACGCTCACACCTAGTCTCCTTCACCTGCAAAAGTCAACTGTAATGTTTTGTCTTGCACAATTGTTGAGAAAAATGATTCCTGGAAGGAATCAAGTATTGCTAGCGATCAATCTTTAGAAGATGGTCATATGATTACTGATGTAACCCGATCGGTGAGCAAGACTTGACAATGAAAAATATAATTTCTTATTTAGTCCCTCAGGATATACATAAGTCAAGCGGAAATGGCACGATTTTCATGGCAATAGTCACACACCAAGGAGAATGAAAAGAATGCCAAAAATGTTCAAGTTGCCCGCGGCTATGCTTCAAAGACATGACTGGTTCAGTTGCGCTGAGGCAACATCTTGGGAATGGATAGTGTATCTGTGAATTTATCGTCTTTGTTTGAACATTAATACATCCAAAGACTGTCACGAAGCCAAAACTGCCTGATGACTCCATAACAGATCGATTCACGAGCAACAACTTCGCAATGCTGACGTTGCGTATACCCATGAAGTCCCAATGCGCCGTGAGGAACTTGAAAGAATGAGCTGCACCGAAGTATGTCGTGAGCAATCTGTTTTGATTGCTTTCTATAGCTGGAAGACTTGAGCCCTTTTTGCTTCGTCTTCTTTTGTTACAAAACATAATCAAAGACGTGGTGCGATCGGATTGTCTTTGGGTTATCGTCGAGAAACAAGCCAAACCAACCACCATAGTCTACGGGTAGTCGCGGAGCCCATAGCGTATGCCATTTGTCACATTTTAGCGACCCAAACCCGTTTCATCATGTCAGACTCAACTGTGAAGATTTCCCGATGAAAATCATGACAAGAGTAGTAGAGAGAGTAGATGGTTTAGGGAAAGATCACATGTGACGTATATTAACAGAGAGGCATCTGACCCGAAAACTGAAGCGGTCAGCTTCAAGGAATTGATCCAAGCACATTGATCGAGCCTCGAGGTGATCTCTTCGGGCAAAAGTTCAGGGATTACGATGATACAGATCTGTTCCAAAAATCCCACTTTGCTCGGGACGAGTTAGCGTGAAAAGCCGCTGGGGCCATCAGTGCAAGCTGTATCTCCTCGCCTCGCTAGAATAGCCGGTCACAGAATTAAAGAGGTCGTATGTTAATCAGTTGATCGATCGATCCAGTCATTCAAGACACGACCAGCCGCAAGTGTGGGCTAATAGGGCTAATTCTAACAAACCACCGACCCTAGCCTGAGATGATCGATTGGGCTATACTGGATATAGCTTTCGTCAGCATGCCGAGAACATGTTAGCACCGATGAACAATCCAGTAACTCCGGGTGAACAGGCCACCAGCCATGATCATCGGGTTCACGCGCTCCCGGTGCAGCTGATTGCCAGCGGATTCTGGCAGAGGAACTCGTGCAGCAAGCAGTGCCAGATGAGCTGGCAGAGCCAGTTGTCCAGCGAAGGTGCCATTGGAACCTGGAAGTATTAAATGGGCAAACCTGAGGCCGAAAGATTGAACCTCATCCCATCATCCCAATCATATCAGTTAATCAGTTAATTATCGATTTTCAACTCAATTCTAGTTCTCATCACAACACTTGAGAAGTTCAATCTCTTTGGGACACGGCATCCTTACATTCCTTTTTCTCAGTCACTTTCGATCTTTCTTCGCAGTCACCAGCTAATCCCAAGCAACTACCACCATCAAGATGCGTGTCTCTTGCTTTTTCGTGTCTGTTGCCATCAGTATGATGCTTGGTGAGTACACTAGTCTGGACTTGGTTATTGATCTGGCATGTATAAGTTTTGAGACTGACGATGTGTCAATTGTTTTTTTCATCAGCTGAGCAAAACAATGCTCTTCCGCTCGGGGGTCTTTCTAGCCTTCCGCTTCTAGGAAACCAAGGACAACAGGTCGGCCAAGGATTGCCGCTCCTCAACACCGTTGGCTCCCTCGCCAACGGCCTCCAAAGCCTTCCTCTGCTCGGCAGTGTCGGCTCTGTCGCCCCCGTCACCCAAGGCCTCACCTCCCGAGTCGGCTCGTTGAACAACGCTGTTCCACAAGTCAACAAGGTCGTCCTCCGCCGTCAAAGCCTGCCCCTTCTTAACACCGTTGGCTCCATCGCCAACGCCGTCGAAGGCCTCCCCCTGCTTGGCAGTCTTGGTTCTATCGCCCCTGTCACCCAAGGCGTCACCTCCCAAGTCGGCCCGTTGAACAACGACCTTCCCAATGTCAAGAAGGTGGTCTCCGGAACCGCTCAGGCCTTGCCAGCGACCCAACTCTCATCGAGCAAGATTTCCCTTCAACGCCGACAAGGGTTGCCGCTTCTTAACACCCTTGGCTCTATCACCAACGGCGTTCAAAGCCTCCCCTTGCTTGGTAGCGTTGGGTCCGTCGCCCCTGTCACCCAAGGTCTCACTTCCCGAGTCGGTTCATTGAATAATTCGGTCCCCCAAGTGAACAAGGTCGTTTCTGGAACCACCAGCACCCTGCCAGTTTCTCAATTAACCAGCAAGCTTCCTTTGCTCCACAAGCGTGCCAACAGTGTCCCAGTCGTTGGCACCTTGCCCGTCGTTGGCTCCATCCCCGGTGTCAAGGAGCTCGGTGCTATCCCCGGTTTCAGCAGTCTTCCTTCGATGGACTCGCTCCCCGGCTACAGCGGTCTTCAGGCTTTCGATGCCATCCCAGGTTTGAGCAGTGTCGAGGCCATCGGTGACGTCATCCCCTTGTCTGGCTTCACCAAGCGTAGCGGTGGTATCCCCGGTTTGGGCTCTATCCCGGTCCTCTCATCCTTGCCTGGTGTTCAAAGCATCCCGGGCATGTCATCCATCCCCGGCCTTGGTGCCATTCCATCTGCCGACAGCATCCCCGGATTCAGCTCGCTTCCATTCAACAATGGGATCCCGGGCCTTAGTGGCGTCAAAGGCCTCACCTCCGCTTTACCGATCCCCAACATCTTCAAGCGAGACTCTGGCCTCAGCTCTCTTCCATTGCTCGGCGCCCTTCCCCGGACTTAGCAGCCTCCCTTCGCTCCCCGGCCTCGGCAGCACTTCGTCCATGCCATCTCTCCCTGGCATGTCTAGCTTGCCCTCCCTTCCCAGCATGGGTAGCATGCCATCCCTCCCCGGCATGTCTAGCTTACCCTCTCTCCCCAGTGTGGGTAGCATGCCATCTCTCCCCGGCATGTCCAGCTTGCCTTCCCTCCCCGGCACGTCCAGCTTGCCTTCCATCCCCAGCATGAGCAGTTTGCCATCTCTCCCCGGCATGTCTAGCTTGCCATCCCTCCCTGGCATGTCAAGCTCGTCATCCCAGTCGAGCCTCCCCAGCCTCCCTTCCATGCCGTCGGTCCCCGGGATCAACAGCCTCACCTCTGGCGGCCTCCCAGGCCTCAGCAGCCTCACCAGCCTCCTCTAAGGTCCGTTACATTTCCTTTTCTATATTCAGATAAGATGTTGACAATTATTCTCTTCTTTTTCCAGGCTTCTTACCTAGGCTCCCCCCATAGCGCTACTGGTAGCATTTGAATCTTGCAATTTTTTAACTTATTACCTCCACTTGTTTCGGTTTTACATGTACAAATTACCTTGATCGCATCCTCACATGTAGCACTTGGCTTAGGTTATTCGTCTGATCTTGATAAATCACCGCTTGTATCTCAAGTCCTCATATTGCCATGTGACCTATGCAACTCATTTTAAGATTTCTTACCCAATTTTTTTTTTGTCCCTTTTGATCGCCTCATTCACGAGCATTAATTCGCCCATCGCACTGAGTTCTCTTGAAGTCGAGCAGGATGAATCAGTTCGGACTCTTTTTGTTGGCCGACTCATGTGCGATTCACAGCTGTTGAATTGTCGGTGGGACTTGATCCCGAATCTCTGAGTTGTCCTTGAACTCTGCATCCTTTGACCTGGCACTTCAATTATCTGACTCCATCCTCTACAATTATTTGTCTTGGCCGCAGGTAAGGTGGTGCCAATGAGGTGAATGGCCTCCCAACTCCGCCAGTTGATTATTTTTTGTGCGGTATGAATTTTTCCTCCTGAAAGCCTTTACATGGGTATCTATGTAAATTGTTCTACACTGGAGAATATACATATCATGATGAGCAGTTGCCCTCCTTTGGCTTTCTCCTGTGACGTGTGGTGGTGATGAATATGATGGTGAGTGATATCGTACCCCGGGTTTCACGGGGGTGTACATACCCAGTCCTCCTCAACTCTGCCCCCCTTCTTTCGATTGTAGTCTTTCTTTCTTTCCTTCTACACTGATGATGAGCTCTTCAAGCGATTCATCATCATCTCAAGTACTAGGACTAGGCCTCGGACTGACCGAAGAAAGATCGATCAAGGAAGTCTATCAGAGAAGAACAAAACGAATCCAGTACTTTGACCAGATCGAAACCATGAACGACAACAATCACAACAGTCCGTAAATATCAACCTATACACACTCACTCAAAACAAAACAAAACAAACACTGATAGAGAGAAAGTGAAGAGAGAAACTGACCAATCGAACCCTCCTCCAACAGACCATCATCTCAACCACCCTCATCACTGCCATCAGTCATCATCCCACTATCAACCAGGGAGCCCAGTCAAGAGCACAATCCTACTCAAGAACACACTCCTACCCAAGAGCCCACTCCCACTCGAGAGCACAGTCCTACCCAAGAACACAGTCCTACTCAAGAACATCCTCCTACTCAAGAACATCCTCCTGCCCAAGAAAATCATCCTACTCACGAAAACACCCGGAGATTCAGAACTAGGAAGGCAAACCAACTCAAACCATATACCATCGAAACCAAGACTTACATCTCAAAACTTAACCACACCGGATGGGAAGATGCAGTCGTCAAATTTCCTAGACGAACTGAGAGAAACGACCCCCCATCCCCACCACTCTCGATCGATCTTCAAGAGGAGGAGCTAGAAAACTCCCTCAGTGATTCTTCATCACCATCATCATCACCACTACCAAATGAATCTCAAATCGCCCAATTCTGCCAGAGGAAATTTCACAGCAGGCCTCAAACCAGTGGTGGGTCATCTCATCAACACAACCAACCCATCCATTCACTGATCCCGCTCTCGTTATCTGCACAGACACCCGCACCCCAAGACATAATCAACCCCGTCGTCGATTCTCGCAGCCTGATCCTCCTAATCAACCAGGTCCTTCAAATCCCAAACAAATCCCAAGATCAACCGATCATAGCAACAAGACCAGTCACACACATCGAACACTCCACCCACTGAAAACTGCTTCAACCTCCAAAAACAATCATCCAGCCCATCTGAACCATCACACCCCATCCAGACAATCCTCATCCAGCCAAATCTCATCCTCACCGTCGATCGTATTTCAACCTAATCACTTATCACCACCTCGAACAACCAACCGCAAACGTACCGCGTCCCTCCAGAATCAGGCTAAGCTACCTAGTTCAAAGAGACCCTCTCGCTTACCTTCGCCTCATTCAAGACAATCTAACAATCGCTCGGATAATCACTCTCCACACAGAGCTGATGGCCTATCAAATCGACATCGTAGCCACCCTCAACGTGGGAAAAGTCATAGCAAATCCTCTTCGGTGAATAGAACGCGTAATCTTCAAGCACGCGATCGTGGCGAGTCGACTAGATGTGACCCAGCCAATTCATCCAAGGGCTCGCTTGCTCTCGGTGGATCTGCAGACGAAGATTTGGATGATGAAGAGGAAGAAGAAGAGGAAGAGGAGGAGGAACCCAACGAACCACCAGAGACTTTACATCCAAAGAAGCTGAAACTGAATCTGTTGAATCGAATGATGCCACGCGTCTATGTGGCCAAGGCAGAGAAAGATTTACGACTGATGGAACAAGAGAAAAAGGCTGGGAAGATGAGACTGACGGTCGATTCGGATTCCTCAGACTCTGCCGTTACTATTGACCAGCACCCCCATTCTCGACGTCAACCAACGAAACGAGCTGCACGGCGTAAATCTATACCCTTATCATGCTCGTCAGATGACTCTAGCCGGAGAGCCACCAGCTCCCGGATCGGGACCACCGAGTCATCGCACCATCAACCATGGCAGCAAGAGCCCGCTGGGATGAGCTGGGGCACGAGGATGTGCATGAGGATGAACAGGTCATCTTCCTCCACCTCTCAGCTCCTCAACCCCTCTCGGACTCTTGAACGAACCGCCTCTCACGCTAGCTCAGTCTCGTCACGCGTCAGTCAGAACACATCCTCAAGGACTTCCCGTGTCATCTCTCAGTCGCGCAGTAATAAGCTGGAACACGCTATCTCCCTCAAGGACGATCATGCCCTATGGAGGACCTACGAATCCGCAAATGGTCGCCCGGCACTCAATCTCCCTCCTCCAGGCTGGCGTCGCGAGAGCCTCGCCGATGATCAGATGGAGGCTGAACTGGTACAAGTCCCGATATGGGATTTCAAGGACTTCACGCCCGACTTTGGGATCAGCCGTTTGCCTGCCAACCTGAAAATCACCAGCCAGGTGGGCTACCTAAGCGACGGCCATCTCTTAGAACTAATCGGCCTCTTCGATGAATCTACCCAAGATACGATCGTCGACCCCGTCATTATCTTTGAGAAAACCTATTCAGGGTTCATGACCCTCGAAGAATGGCACGACCGTCTCTCTTCAGCAGCTGATCGGATTCATGACGAGCTATCAGGATGGCTAGCTGAAGATTCGGGGCGGTCAAAGGATGCATTGACAGAGACGGGGAGATGGTTCAAGTTCATGGGCCGGTCGATCACCTCGGTTGGGTTTGATGACCGGCTGGTCGAGTCGATGGTTGGCTGGATTGAAGACTTCCTCATCCGGGTCGACGACCTCGCAGTCGACGCCGTCAATAGGCCCGAGTTCAGCAACCTGATGTTGGTCACTAGTTGGGGTATCTTTGAGCTCGTCTGCCGGCTGGACCTCCGTCATCACCGACATCCCATCAATAGCGCTCCATCCTTGCAAACCCTTCTCGAGCTTGGTCATCGATCACTCTCCAACCTCTTGAGACGTCTGTTGGAGTATGGGCCCCCAGTCACGATGGGCAAGTTGAAGGCTCACATCTCCAACGACGATCGAGAAGGCCCCCTATTTGATGTCTCGGTAGAAGTTTGGGCCTCCTTACTAAACATCATCCTGACGCCGATTGGGAATGGCTCCAAAGCAGAATACCTGCTGATTGATAATTTTTGGACCAAGGTCATTGACGGGACCCGGTGTCACGCTCGGCGGATTGAATTGAGCCAAATGGCGTGCGGGGAGGCGGTCAGTTACCTGGCGATGATGCTTTGCGTGATTTCTCAGATCTTGCCCAACGGCGAGACGGCTGAAGCTGGTCGCATAGGAGCTCATTGGCCGGTTCTCGTTGCCTCTCTGGGCAAGATACCGGAGACTATCTTGGCTGAGACCCTCGAGGTCCGGATGCGTGAACGGCGAGATCGATACGTCCGATCACTGTTCGCTCGGATCTTGGTCTTCCACGAACGTTGGCGCTGGGAGCTGTGCTTTGACGATGGGATGGTCGAGCGATTGTATAAAATCTTGAACGCTGGAAGATTTGAAAGACTCTCGATCGAGCTCCCTGAGATGAACCAACGGTTCGGTTCTGTCGACAGTTTCCCACACCTCTTAGAAGATCTCGAATATGAAGAGCTGAAACAGATCTCAAGCTCTGAAGATCTTTTGTTCAGATTAGATACTAAGATGAGGACAGACGATAGCTGTTTTGGAATCTTTTTGAAGATCCTCGTCGTCGGATTCAAGGCTCTTCCGCGACCGATCGAAGCTTCGAAACAAAAGGAGATCGAGAAGATCATTTCCCGATGCAATCCGTTACGACAGCTATCCTTCAAGCCCTCTCGAGAACTAGGACCGACGGATCCGAAGATAACCGAGCAGAACCGGACGAGCTTGGTCAACCACTCCGCCCTTTTCTTAATCTACTCGATCCTGCTTCCGAATACTTTGAAACGACAATGGTCGTTCCTTTGCAATCTTTACAGCTTCGGCTCCATCGACATTCCCGCCCGATCGACTCACTTCAAAATATTATGCCAGTTTGCCAAGTTCTTGAAACCCTCGTCTTCCTTTTCTCCATCAACGGGCATTATCCATGGTTTTGGCCGATTCGAGTACTTGAAGATCATTGTCAAGAAGTTTTCTGAGAACTTGACGCTCTTGAAACTCGAGTACTCAAAACTCAAAGAACGAGAATCGGTGATCCAAGGACGTCTGAGCACGCCCACCCATAACTCCGTCGGTGCTGCTGCTAGTTCCTCTACTTCGAGGGATATCTTCAAGAAAGATTCGGTTGAACATACTACTCTAAGACTCGAACTGAAAGAAATATCTGACGCGATCACATCCAGAATCCGACTGATCACTCAAATACTTGATTCCTTACTCAATCTTTTCTCTTTTTATTCACATGATCTTTCTCGGAATGATCATCATGCCTGGATCTACCCTTCGTTAATTTGGCTTGATTCTTGTATGTCCACCTTTCCTCCCCTGCTCTGCTGGGACCACCAAGCTAATTTGATTTTTCTTTGTCTTCTGAAGCGTGGACGGTTGGTCTAGAAGAGTCAAGTTTGGTGAAGGAGAAGCCGGTGATGAGCGCGTTCAACAACTTGATATGTGCACTGTTAGCTCGACGGAGGGACAAGATGGCTGAAGTGATGGAGGACGAGAGACGAATTCAGGCAATCGATGAGCGGCTAGGGGAAGCGTGTCGGGCCGAAGTAGCAAATGGAGACGAGCTTGCGGACGACGAGCTGGTGCTCCAAAAGAGCGAGCTGAAGGAGCAGATCCAGGCGGTGTATCGCCTCGACCGAGAGTTTGTCGAACGGGCAGTCTCGACCCTCCCGGGTCCATTGACGAAATCAATCGAGTTCTTGATCCTCGATCACCATGAGCAAGCATTGGATCAAGAGCAGGACCGATTTTTTTCGGTTGGGGTCCAGTCGATCGGAGTTTTGGGCGCGATCGACAGGCTCAAAGCGGCCCTCGACCCGGGCTTCAACTGGCTCAACAACTTCAGATCTATCGAGCGCTGGCTCGGCGCCGGACTCGCCTCCCGCCCATCCGATCCTCCCCACACCAAGGGTAAGGCCTCTTTGAGCAACACTCACAAGAATCGGAACGAGTTGAGGGCCTTGACGCTGGCAACGACGGGTCTGATGGGCTACTTGATTGGCAACGTAGCCGGGTACTACGAAGAGGCCGCTCATCTCGATCAGTCTCACCAAGTCCCTCCTTCCTCTAGTACTAAGACGATGACCACTGCTCTGATGAGAGTCTATCGAGGCCAAGTACGACTGGAAGTCTTGAAAGTATGGATCGACAGTCTGACGTTCATCGAATATACCATCCAACTCGCGTTCTCCTCCTTCATTGTCCGTCTCGAAAATGATCTTCACGCACACTCTGCTTCTCATCCCGACCAGCAAATCGAGGAGCTCTATGGCGCATTCGTTCCTCCCAGTGAGGATTGGAATCGTTGGCTCGTCGACCATCGGATCCTCGAGCCGACTGGCCTCCCATATCTTGCTCCTGATTGTTCCCTCGAAAAAGAGCTGGATTTCTTGCTGAACTTGGCGTCGGGCGCCTCGGCCTTCGAAGCCAAACGTACAGAAATCTTCGAGTGTAAGCCCATGATTATCTTACTTCGTTCCTGGGCTTTTTTTTTTTTGGTTTGTTGATCGTCAATCTTTCTTTCTTACCTCACCCAATCCGAAAAAAAAGTGATTTTTGGGGAGATGAAGAAGCACTTGAGTCGGTCGATACTCGTCATAGGCGTCGGAGAACGGGAGAAGGAAGTGATCAGTACAGAGAAATATGTGAGACTATATAAGGAGATCTTGGGGAGCTTGGCGGAATCGATCTCGACGTTGAATCGACGATTGGTCGTCTTCATCTCCATCGAGCCTCATTCTCATTCTTCTTCTTCTGTTAAAGATCCACAACAGAGGAAAACTCTCCTCGAGAATCAAGTCGCAAGGTGGAAGAATAAGGTCAAGATCATCATCCATTCCTTGCTCTCTCTCGATCAGAATCAGAATCAGAATCAGAATGTCTTGGGAACAGAGAATCCAGAACAGGTGGTCCGATTAGATCAATTCTTCAATTTCTCTAGCTTTCCTAAATTGAGAATCTTAAAATCTATCTTGGGTATTGCTTAACCCTCCTATGTAAATCAATACTGTTTTTCCCCTCACCATCATCTCTCTCTCTCTCTCCTTCTCTTCTCTTTTTTTTTCATCTAGTTCATCATTGTTTTGGGTAATTTGTTTCGTGCACTTCAAGGACATCGTTATCTATTTGCCTTCTTTGTTTATATTTTACTTTTGTTTTTGTTCTTCCATTTCTTACTTGATCACATATATATATATATTTGAATTCAATCATTGTATCTTTTATTTTAGTATCGGGATCTTAGAAATTATTTTTGTTGATCATATGGACAAGTATGTAGGATGCTACTGGGCTCCTGGGCAGATTGATACGAAGAAGTTGTTTTTGTTGAGGGGAGGAGGGGGATCCTCATTGGTGGACTGATAGATCATTCACCAGTATGCCCAAGGGGATCCATTCCTCGGGCGAATCGTAGCAATGTGTGCCACTGCCAGTGCTGACATCGCCCTGGGGAGCGCACCTGATCAGACTAATACTCAGCCCGGGCCGTGAAGTTCCTTTGTAGGGTCGGTTCGTGAGCCGCCGGCTCCGAGAATCGTGATGATGACACGGAAAACGCCCGCCGTGATTTGATAGTTCTCACTTCGGGAAGCCAGCGGTACGTAGCTTGCTGAAATGGATCATCTGAAACTTGCAGCAGGAGTTTTTGTAAAGAAACAGCCGAGCTCACCCACGACTCACGAGGGGTATGCAGACTTCCCACCTGGATAATTGTCAAGCAAGTAAATATGTATCGCCCGAAGACGGCTGCGACTTGTGTGGGAGTGGCCAATTACAAGCAGCGACCCCCATGCCTCTTCACGGATCACGATTCACGCTTATCCACAACCGCATAATTGGAAGTGGCGCCCATCCAGTCGGAGTGCTATCCCTCCAACAATTTCCATTACATCTAAAATGTTAATCATTGGTAATCATCCCCTGTCTGTCTATCTTGAATTCTTTTTGATCGCCTGCATCAATCCCACCGCAGGGAACATCATCAATGGACTTTCATTCGGCACAAATAATGAGAGACAATCTTCAAATGACTTCGAGGTGGCCATGAATATCCCCCACTTCCTTCCCGTCCATTCTAGGCCGGAAAACACTGCCCCTTCGCTAGTCAAATCCATGGACGTAGACACCGAGTTGCGGCTCGGTTCGATAGAGCAAAACCCAGCTCGAAGAGTGTCCGACCCGCAACCCTTGGAAGTGATCCAATCTGCAGAACATACCGCCCCCTCACTCGCTGTCAAACTGCCAGAAGTTCCTACCGAGTTGCGGTTTGGTTCCACGGAGCACGATTCAGCTCGAAGAACTTCAGTCTCTCAACCATGGGCGATCCAGTCTCTAAGATCACGCAAAAGACCTGCCGCAGGGACGTTTCACCCCGCAAGTCCATCAAGAAAAAGAACTAGAGAATTGAGGGCTTTTGTCAACTTTCCGATTCTTCACGATCCACCCGGAACGATAGATTTCTTGAAGACATTTGATAAACCATCAGCAACAAAAACTTCAACAACACATCAGACTTATCATGAGATCCGAAAGCCAACTGATTATCATGGTTTGATTGTGACAGAAAATCGCAACAGTGTTGCTTCAAGCCATACTGCTGCTACCAAGAATCGATTAGGCTCTATGGATAGCCGGTTGGAAGGTCCAGGACTCACTCAACCTTCACTATATTCCGACTTGTACGATAACCTCCGGAATCGGTACAAAAAAATCGCCGCGCAGCAGACGGCAGTGGACAATCCATCTAGAGCAACCTCTTTTGCCTTCAACTCGAACCCCTACAAGGCAAGTGGTTCATCTGAGAAACAATTGTTCCGGGCGAACCAGATGAAGCGCGCTTCCAACCCAGCTTCAAATTTGGGAGCGGTGAATGTACAAGCACCTGCGCTCAATAGCATCGAACATGTCCGGCAGCGGTTAAATCAGATCCAGCGTACTCGTCCTAGGCCTATACCACCGGCTGGACTGTTCGAGTTTGGTGCAGATAATTTCGATCAACTCGGGAGCAACTCGTTGAGAAAAGACTTGATTCGAATCCCAGGAAAACCTGGAACAGACAATTTCTTACGAAACCAGAAGATTTTCGGTTTATTCAAAGATGGTCGTGGAACGCTGCGCCGATATGCCTCAAGGGAGGCCCCCACAAACGCGAGGTCGAGGGAGCCTAATTCGAGACGGGAAGTGTTAGAACGAGCCTGCGATAAGCTCAAGAAGCAGGAAGCCGTCTGGTTTAGTTTCTGGTCTGAATCTGGCCTCAAAATCGCGATCCCTCCAGAGATTCAAAAAGATCGTCTTCTTCGAAGGATGTTTCCGTCTTATCTGTTTTTTGTCGACATGCTCGACAACATCATTGTTTCGCCAGCAAGTCTGGAAACCGATCAACTCTACAAGCATGAGCATTTTAAGACTGCAATAACTGACTTCGAGGATTTTGCAAACCTTTCCTTCAAAACTCCCGAAGAGCGCGAAGTGATCAGGCTTAGATATCAAACGGAAAAGAAGAAGGAGGAACAGTATGGAAAGGAGAGGGCTCACAAACCCAGAATCTCTCAAATCCTGTGGGATTTCATCGAGTATTGGATCCGTCACTCGGCCAGCATTGAGATCCAAAGCCTCTTTGCCAAAAGTGAAACTGATTTCAAGGGTTTCTTCGAAGACATCTTTCGGGATTCGGTCGAAAAATTGAAAACTCCAATATCTGGTACTGGTGCTTACTCAAAGCCTCTTCAGTATATCTGATTAACACTGCATAATTTATACGTTGATTAACACTGCATAATTTATACGTTCTTTTCTATAATTTTTTTTTTTTTCACTATCCTTATAAAAATCCTCAACACAAATTTAATTTAAACAATCTTCTCACTTCTTTGTCTCGCTCTCATTTCGAAAATTGACATCTGGCTTTTGTTTTCAAAATACGTTATAAATTTGGTCATTCACTTGCTTGCGTCTCCACTACTGATAGAAAACACAATCACAAGTAGCATTTTCCTAATAGTAACCTGAACAATCATTCTTCCAGTATTTGGTAATTTGTTACACAGTCATACTACCAACAATTTTTTGAGAGCAATCAGAATGAGTGACCCCAAAAAATCAACAAGCTGACAAATAGTTGGAATCAAAAGGGCCAGGCTTTTGGAACTCTTGGAGGAACACAAATGGTCAACATTCCTGATCAGGAAATGTGCAAATAGAGCAATGTCCAGCAGGAACCCTACAGGTGATGTGCTGATCCAGATTGTTTCAATATGTATGGCTTCAAAAGCCTAGGATTCTAGGGAATCTTGACACACTTGAAGAGCACAAAGCAGCATCTACATATTAATTGGTTGATTGAATTAAACCAGCAAGAATCAGAGTGGTTTTCTAATATGATATCTAAATCAAAGTCTTCTTGCACAGAAACAGAAACATTTCATGATTATGTAACCAATAAACATCAAGCTGCAACTGGCACAAAAAGCTGAAATCAGAGAAAGGAAACCATATTAAAGGTTAGATCGATAACTGATGTAGAAATATAGACATATCTTTCTGTCAAGGGGCTGTCCATGGAATGGGGTCGGCAGCTGAAGAGGTGGATTTGAAGTTGAAAGAATAGGATAGATTTTGTTGCAAGAATATATACAGACCCACTTGCTCCTAGTTCCATCTTCCTTGAGTTCAACTTCCGGCAGCTCTCGGTTTCGTTATCAAACATCTCTCGGCTTGGGTCTTCTAATTATTTATGTAGTTTTGTAAGAGTACATCCTACCTAACTTAACTAAGTCCCTACCCTCCTTTGTCGGAGTGGTAAAACACTTGTCGCATTGCGCCGACCGGAGGAGGGTCCCTGCGGGACATTGTCCCCCCTCCGATGGGGACTTAGTTAAGTTAGACATCCTACTATAATCTATCATGATATCGTTAATATGCAGTCCGCTGGATCACCTGATTCTCTATCAGCCAACATCCTGAGATGATCAGACCGGGAAACTGTTGTTGACTTGGACTGCAGCTGTCGTGATTTGACGCGAAACTGGACTACAGCGCTCATCACTCGTTGCAACAGTCCCTACCACATCGTCGGACTCGTGCATGCAATCCCGCTGTTAAAACATTATTACGGTTAATGGTACCCATGCCGGCGTGGAACACGTTTCTAGGCGCATTGGGCACTTCGGAGGAGACTATCCTTATCGCACCCTATGCTTCAGCTTGCTATTGTGAATGGGGGGTATATAGCCCTCTCACAGAACAACACCCTAGAAGTTAGAACCATCTAATAGCCTTGCTGGCTTCTCCACCAAAAGCCTTCAATCCGATTCTTTCCCACCCAAACACTGAGCGCTGGAAGAAAAAATGCAGAGCAGAAATCTCTACTCCATCCTTTTCGCGTTCATGACCGCCTGCAATGCTAGCATGAAGGGCTCGTCGCATGATCCTATAGATCTCGTTTCTGATGTTTCTGATTTCTCTACGGTACCTCAATCTTCTCATCTTCGACAGTCTATGACTACACTCCCATTGATATCAAATATCGAAAGACCTCCGACAACTGGCAATCAAGAGAATGCAGTGCATACTGTGCCACGTCAAACTGGCTATGAGACCACCGATTCACTAGTTCACCTCCCCAATGTTAATACTGGGATCGAGTTCATTCCCATCGATCAAACACCATCCAAAGAGATCGATTTTCTATCAATGCTTGACGCCCGAGACTCAAGAGATCATCGAGGATTTCGGGGATCAAGTTCGAACTACCCATCAGCTTCAAGCAACTGGGAAGGCCAAGGACTGATTGATCCCCATGCAGAGACTCGTAGCGGCCCCATTATCGATTATCAACACTTGGGTAATTACGGCCATTTTCCATCTAACGAGTGGACAAGCTCAAACCGACCATGGTCAAGGCAATCCGATCGCCGTGCTGACGACGGAACGCTGGATTTAATCAACAAAGTAGGAAAAAGAAGTCCCTCAACAGAGGCCTCGACCAGCTCCGACCGACCATGGAGCAACCCTGGATTGTCCCATCAGCGGAGAGCCCTAGGACGAGATTGGATTCCAGCTTCAAGTGGGCACGTGCCTACGCGCCTGTATGATGGAGACCAACATCCCAGTACTTTCGAAAGTCAACTTCAAGAACCTGTGTACAAAAAGACGAAGGTTGATGAGCGTTCTGTGGAAATTCAATCGATTATCCAAGAACCGGAACTGGAAACCAAGGATTTTTTGAATAAAATCGGCCAAGCATCGGGAAACAGTGTGCAAATTTTTCATAACCTTGATACACCTGAAACGGTGGACTTGATATCTACGATCGGGAAAGAATCGAGGACAGGGACTTCGGATACCGATCATGTCACCAAACCAAAGGAGGACACCTCCCAGCAAGAAAGGTTGCACGGGGCAATGGATTTTTCTGGTCAAGTTAACGATCACAAACACCCATCAACCAGTGCCGGCCCTTCCCATTTCGAAAAGCTGGAGTTCGATGCTAATATCTTTGCGATCGAAAATCCATCACCGGAAGACAAAATCAAGATCGATGAGATCCAGAAATTGGCAAAAAGCTCACCGAACAAGAGATTATTGATCGATGGGTTTGAATGGAGGGATGTTTTTCTTACATTTCGGAAGTACTATTTACTACCGAGAGATAAACTGCAGGATGAAGTCCCAGGAGGAGGGATAGTGGTTCAAGTCGATGAGTATGATCCAAATCAACTTTCAAGGAAATCAGTTTTGAATTCCAGCATTTTAGAAATCACAAATAATCAAAATTTATGGGTCGAGTTTTGGGAAAAGAGAAACACTCAAGGCGTCAAGATTTTCAATACGGAAATGACTCATGTAGAAAGGGCATTACTGGTATCCTTATTTTATATCGATATGATTGATACAATCATGCCGCCTATCGATCGGATTGGATCAGAATATGAACACAAATCAGAGATGCTTCAAGGGGTGATAGAAATGTTTGAAGATTTCAAGAGTTCATCTGAGTACGTACATCTCAACAGCCCAACAGGAGATAATAATTTAATTGATCAAAAGTATAGAGTAGTCCAATCAACAATGTCCCAGCTTGTATGGTCTTTCACATTTTTCTGGATCAAAAACTCCCATAGAAAAGATCTCAATAATGTTTTCTTCAGATCTGCTTACATGACTAAGATTACTAAATGTTTTTTTAATGACATTTTCCATTACTCAATCAGAAACTTCAACAAGATATTAACCAACAGAAAAAAATTATTAGCAGCCTCAAAATGATTTATTTATGTAGTAGTCTCAAACTTCACAGAAGCCCTTTCCTCACTTTTCTTACAAATGCATACTGGAGGGGAGAATATTTGTTTAAATTATTTTTCTTCCAAAAGGTCCAAACATAGGAGAATTATGTTTCTTGAGTTCCTGATATAATTTTTTCATCTACTGATTGTGATCTGCACCAGCTTGCAAGGATTCTTGATAAAACTCCACACATGAAGATAGCAGAAGTTTGACAACAGCTCACAGTTCCTATCAGTACACATACTGCACAAAGGCAAGCCCAGAAAATTTTGTTCAGCAGCCATATTGGCATTTCTCTGTGAAGAAACTACTCCTTTCCAAGACTGGAAAAAGACTGTGGTTGTAGTTTGCCCAAGCCCACAAGAACTGGACTGCTGAGGAATGGCAGAAGACCTTGTAGAAAAACAAACACTCCTCCAAGATTGGGATACTCTTACAACAGATTTCTGTTGGGGAACAAAAGAAGATCATCAGAAAAGTTGGTGTACTTTGTGAATGATAATCATATAATCAGAACAAACTCGCACTCTCAAGCTATATACACTTGGGTCTAGTGAGGCAGATGGTAACCCAGTAGCTGGGTTACAACAAAAGTCAGACTTGAACAATGGTCTGGGGCATGTTTTTTTTTTGGAAAATCTTGTGATCCTGTCACAATTGTTCCCCTTGGCCAACAAAAGGCTGAATGCTTTGTTAATAACATTCAAAAGAAGGGCTTCATCACCCAAACCATAAACTGACAGTGATGGAGGACGCACAGCTTCTCACACTGCTCAGCTCAGCCATAGATTCCTTGAATCTTCTTTGATTGAAAAATTTGACTGGCCAGCACAATCAAGGCAACTTAATCCAATGGCCTGCAGGACAGCACACACCCTGGAATCAGATGTGTGTCATTGTGTATGCCTGCTATGGAATGTGCAGTGCTGCACTCAACAAATGGGGGTCCTTGGCTGTGCAAACCTCCACACACCTTTCTTGACTTTAGCCAGCCCCTTTTCCAATCATATTTCAAAAATATTGCAGGAGTGAGAACTGAAAGAATTTTGTGTGAAAAGAATGATAACAGATTAAAAAGTGACCAGAACTTTGAATCTGTTTCTAAATTGACTTGGAAAGTGGGGTGTGATACCCAACAGACTAATGCTAGCAATTAGACACTAAAATCAAACTTAATTCAACTTCAAAACAGTTTATTCTACTTTCCAAGATTTTTATGATTATTTTCATGATTTCTACTCTTATAATCATTATTTTCATATGCATGTCTTTTAGTCCTAATGTTTTCAGACTTTTTTAAAGGAGTCAAAAATGACAAGATACATAAGAAAGGAAAATGAAGAAAAACACAAAGTTACATCATGCTTGTCATCATCATTCTTTGGAACCCACTTTCCATGCTTTTACCCAAAATTGTGACTTCAATCCGGCCATTGATTTGCCTTCCAGACTTCAAAAAAAAGTTCAGATTTAGTTGTGTACAGTGTAGGGCCCTAAGGCTAACTTCACAACACAATCACTACATGTACATTTACTCAACTTCACCACCCATCACTCATGTAAAATGGGTTGCTAGAAAAATCTGAACCTCATGTGCAGATTCAGCTTTTGTGCCTGTCAACCCTCAAATTCAGGATTCATACTCATGATGATGAGAAGAGGGCTGGGTGGGGGAAAAATGACCCTTGAGTAAACACTCAAGACAAGATTAAAGATACCAAAAAAGCTCAAGTAGTCTGCTAGCTTGCAAGGCAGAAAGGCACACACACTAAAAGAGGCTTTGTACAATAGATTAATCATGGTTCATACACACAACGGTGCAACAGAGACGATACGAGACGGTATCAGGCGTTTATTTGTATTGTCTCAGAATTTGAATCCCTAAAAATACCGGATTTGTGTTGTCTCACTTTCCTGAGACAATACACATGCATTGTCTTTGAAAAGTGAGACAAGTATTCTGTATTGTCTCAGATGACTGATCCCACCAAAACTGTATTTGATACACAAGATATTTGGCTGTATTGAAGAAAAAAAAAAAAAGACAATTTTTTTTCATTTGTAAATCAGAATCTGAGACAATGAATTTTTTCACCAACCAAGAAAATACCGATAGCGGTAAAGATGGCCCCATGGGACCCTGGTACTGACTGCTTTTTTTGGCCAAAACGGACACCGGTGTGGAAAGAAAGGCGCGCCCTAGGAGATTTCTTGTACTTCTCCGCTCCGCAACGCGTCCTACTCCGATTTGTTGTCCGGGGTAACTTGCTTGATGGTCTAGTAAGTAGATAAAATAGCTCTCTTGTATTGATCTTTGGTAGGTAACACTCTAACTCTATTCTATCTCTAACAATTCTTTAGGCTAATACACGATTCACTCCTAAGTCACTCTGTTTTTCTGATATGTTCTGAGTCATCCCTCCCCCCCCTCTCTCCCCTCTTCTGCTCCGAACTCCACTCCTCCCAAGTATCCCACACTCCAGTCCCTTCTTGCTTCCCGCGATGTCATCCGCTGTCACCCCCTCGGACTCCGCATGTCACCCCTCCGACGCCTGTCGGTCCAGGTACTCCTCCGGCCGCTCATAAACAGGTCTCCCACCGCCGCTTCCGCCTCTGGTCCGCTCCGAACCCCGCTTCCGCTCCTTGTAGCCCCTCCGCAGTATACGCTGAACCCCCGTTCTGCAGTCGGCCGTGATCCCCGGTGTCCGCCGATGCCAGGATTCCCCCGCAGCAAGCTTTTCAGAACCTTGCGCATTCGGTCTACTTTTCCCCGCTTTCCCGCGCCTCGGAAAGCTAGACTCTCCACTAATGCACCGCCGCTTTCCTCAGCCTGCGTGCATAGCGTCAGCTCCGCATGCTTTCCGCATCAGCCGCAAGCATTCCGCATGCCCCCCCCCAAACAAACCGGCCAAATCTTTGGCCAAGGCGCGCTCTCGCCGCCACACCGGGTACCGCACCCGCTCAAGTATGACGGGTACCGGCGGTACTCCTGGCGGGTACCGCCTGGCTACCAGAGATTCTTCCTGTTGAACTTACAGGTTTCAGCTTAGTCATATTGTTTTCTCTCTCTCGGTATTGAATAACAAACCTAGTTAGATGGACAATATGTAGTCCGCAGCATGTGCACAGTAAACCTAGTTGATTCTGTTATAAGACCAATAGTTCATCTTCTTTTGTATCGGTTCTCTAACCAACTCAACTTGTTCTTTACTCACACCGCTTGTACTGCCTCAACCTGCTTGGTTTAGGTCCGTTTTCTGTTTCTCTCTCTTTCACTTTATCTGTTTCATTTGATCTCATGGCTAGTGTCTTGCTTTCAGGTTTTCTCCCTCGCTCCGTTGTCACCGCTCGTGTTTGCTTGTGTCTAACGAAGCTCTATCACCATAAAGGTGTGCAAGCTCTAGTAATTTCAACCAACTCAACTTGTTCTTTACTCACACCGCTCGTACTGCCTCAACCTGCTCGGTTTAGGTTTGCTCCCTCGCTCCGTTGTCACCGCTCGTGTTTGCTTGTGTCTAACAAAGCTCTATCACCATAAAGGTTTGCTCCCTCGCTCCGTTGTCACCGCTCGTGTTTGCTTGTGTCTAACAAAGCTCTATCACCATAAAGACTTTACAGTCTAATACTTCCAGGCAACCTGGTTGAGACCAATCAGGTCGCCAAGGAGGGCCCTTACCGGCGACCTGATTGGTCTTGATCAGGTTGCCGAGGAGGGGTCCTCTCCAGCAACCTGGACGAGACCAGTTAGGTCAAGCCACCGAGGAGGGGGTTTGGGGGCGGGTACCCTTAAAGGTACCAGGGTACCACCTGCTTTTTTGCCCAAAAGCAGGCACCGAGTACCGCACCCGGCACCACTTGGTGGGTACCGGAGGAGTGAAGGCGGTACCCGCCAACGGGTCCCGGGTACCGCCCAACGGGTACTGCAAGGCCATCTTTAGATAGCGGTATCAGGCTCAAAATACAGATGATACAATCCAATACAAACATATGTCTTGTATCTGTTGCACCGTTGATACACAGAAGATCAGATTCTTTTATTTATATATAGATCTGGAGCTTGTAATTTATTAAAAAGGTGGGCTGGGATGTGGGAAAAAAGGAGGAAACATGCAAATATGAATCTGGGATAAGGACGAGAAGGAAAGAGGAGGATATATAGTGGAATTACCACACTCCTGTTACATTTGGATGCACTGACTGCCCCTATTGATTTGAACATTGGAATTGTACACTTGAACCTTGTTTTCATGAACCATATTCCTTGTATCAACACCAAGTAAGTTTTGTTTTGTTGTGCTTCCTCTGTTGCCATTTTTTTCATTTTTTAGGAGGGTCAGAAACAAACCCAACCAAAAGCTGCATCTATCAACAGAGAAAAAAAGGCTATGATTTTTGGGATGGTGAGGGAAGGTAAGAGCCTCACCTACCTCTCCCAAGAGCTGCACACAGTGAAATCAACTCTTTCAGGGATCATGAGCTTCTGGAGGAGACTGAAACAAACCATTCAAAACCCCACCTTGGTTAACCACCCCTCACTACTGATTTCAACAAAAAAAACTCAAGCGTCAGCTTGAGGATCAACACCAAGCCCCAATCAGGTGGGTCATGGAGGGCCTCACCATTCAAATTTGGAGCCAACCTATCTTCCAACAAGCCCATAATCTTGGCTACCAAAACAAAAGGGCTGTCAAGAAGCAGAAGGCTAGAGTAGAAGGCTAGCCTTATCCTTCGAAACCAGTTGCCTTTTCTGTGCTGACAAAAATTGGTTCTCCATACTCTGGCCAAACAAACCATCCTCTGAGCTCAGTAAGAACTCCAAAGAAATCTCGTTCTGGCTTCAAACAGACCAAAATTATCACTCTGACTGCCTTGAACCAAATTTACAAAGTGGAGAGTCTTCCAAAATGATCTGGAGTGGCTTCTTTGATGAAACCAAACCCCCTGTTCTCTCTTGATTCCCTCAGCCAGTTAGAGGTACATTAATGGCTGAGGACTTGAATCTGTAGATTTGAAAATTGGGATTCCGGAAGCAGCTCTGATATCTTTGGATAGGATTGGAGAAGTGAATCACAATCCCCAGAATTGGTTCCAGTACCATTTTTGGACATTGGTAGTTGAGCATGCAGTTGTCCATCAGATGCGAGTTGATTTTCTGCTTCAATTCCTGGCATTTATCCAACACCATACACATGGGACAAATTCAGGAAAAACCCCAATTTAAATGTGGAGTTGTGTTGGTGATTGGGACAGGCCAACCAAAAATTCCCAAGCTAGGATTATAAGGAGATGCCTGTTGAGGTTAAGATGGGCCACCAAAGATAGATTGTGAGTTTGAGGATCTTGTTGGCTCAAAGGGTGCAGGTGTACAGTGGCCTGGTCACCCGGGGTAAAGCCCCACCCCTGACGGGGCCCCGCACAGGGTAGTCTGTAATGAAGGCATTCTTGAGGTTGTGAAACTATTGATCTCAAATTACCAAATCAATATCACCCAGGACGAGGACGACGAGGAAGAGGAGGAAAGCAGATAACGAAGAACTAAAATAAATAGGTTCGATGTCCACTTTACTATCACTTCCTATCGAGGTCTGCAGTGTGCTTCAGTCACCAACTTTACTCGATCTATCTATGTACTATAAAGACTAGAGATTGATCGACGGGTTATCTGAAATTTTCTTCTGTCTGAGGAAAACAGATCTTACACGACATCCATCTCCTCTCGACATCCGAACACCTGCCGATAACGTGTAAGCGACTCTTGGATATATACTCACGCACGACCACCACGCGGTATCGGGCGCAATTCCTATGGAAGAAGTATGTGCTGAAAGACTCAGAAGACGGCTCAGTGTCGAAGAATCGTAGTATAAGGGACGGTGCTGCGGGGCGAGAGAGACGGAAGAAGATCCGCTGGGACGCTATCCTGGCCACCCCGGCATGCTCGATCGAAGTCCTCCAGATCCTACGAGACTTCTTTCACTCCGATCTACCCGCTCCTTCGGATCCCGAGGATCTCCCCAAGATCAAGGTCTCAGCACTCCCCGTCCGACTCTTCAAAGCTTTATCCCCTACGCCCTCAGATCCCTCGCCAGCCATCATCAAGGATCACGCCGACCAGCTCGACCAAGCCTTCCGATACATTCATCTCCTCTTAACCGAATATGGCACCTCACCCGATAAGTTTGGCGGCTACCCTCTAGCACGATCCGTCCTCAGCGGGAACCTCGCCTTCGTCCGACTCCTACTCGACCATGGTGCCCGGCCAGGAGTCAAGGATAACCTCGTGATCATGGTCGCCATCGAGACAGGCGACCTGGAACTCCTCAGATTACTCATCGAACCTAACTTCATCCATCCAAAAGAAACCAAGCAATCCTCCCCTCTCATCCCAAACTCTCTTCCTCCCAAAAGTCATAAGAAACTTAAACTCGAAGATCGTGTTCAGATCACCGATCAAATGCTCGAACAAGCTATCAAACGCAAGGACGCCGCGATGGCCCAGTATTTCATCAATAAGGGTCTGTTCATTTAATACCCTTATCTTTGTTTTATCTCGAGACAAATTCCAACTGATTCGTTAAATCCTTTTGATATTATGTAGGTGCTAGACCGACTTTAGAAACGATCAGGTTAATCGAAGCATTGCAAAACATCTGATATTTTAAACCCCAACAAGATTTCTCGAATCTACCTTCTTTGTATTAGTCTTTCCTTTTTTTTTGACCCGGTTTGAATGTTCGTAGTATATGACACAGGAAGAAGTATTTTTTTTGTTAATTAATATTTACACTCATCTTTCTTCATTTTGTTTCGTCCTGAGTTTGTTCATCCATCCATTCAATTGTGGCAGTAATTCAAAGTCATCTTTATTAGGCATAGTCTCCTCCTTCGACTGGAGAAAATATCCCCATGTCCATCTCATTGAGCGTCAGGTGCCATGTGACATTCTTTCTCGGTTGTCTTCTTTGATCGAATATATCAGTTGTAAGCAGCAAAACTGGTAATATTCACCATTCAAGTCCAAAAGGGGGGCGAGAGAGAAAGCCACAAGGAAACAAAAGTTTAGGATGATCTACCCAGATGTGGTCAGGTCTTGGACTGCCTCGAGTTGGAAGCTCCAAATTCTCAATTAGCAAAAGAAAAAAATCATTAAAATTACACTCTGGATCGAGAGATGATAGACTCGCGAAGACAACTATCTTTAGGCGGGCCCGAGGGGAAAGAGGTAAGGGAGAACGGTTTTGGGCAGCTGTATGGCTCATCAGACTACATAGCATCGAATGACCCTTGCTCAAGAAGTTCTACCGGTGCTAGGGATCTTGTAGGATTTGACTGATAATCGAGAGAGGCGTGTGTAAGTCGGCTGAAAGTCAATCGGTGGTGTATAATTCTCTCCCCGGACATCCAACAATATTTTTTGAGAGATCCGTAGCAAGATGATCATGCTCCTGGTAAGACAGCATTATCGTCCTTTCCAGCTCTTCAGGAAGGAGATCAATGTCATTACCGATCAAAACAAAACAAAACATCAGCCAATCAATCATGTCAAAACGTTCTTGATCAAGAACTCGGGATGAGTTGAATTGAATTTCAGACGTTGAAAACTTACAGGAATTTCTCCATAAACGAGTTCGGGACCGGGGGAGCCTATCAAAGAAGATGAAAGAAATTAGATGATGGAGAGTGAGCTTGAAGTCGATGCTTGGGAGGGGATTGGAGAAGGAAGGAAGAGAGACTAGCCTGTTCGGACTCGAAATATCGCATCACCTGAGAGGGCATCTTCCAGACGTTGACGAACTCCTGATACTCCATGTGAGACTTGGCGATGAGCACATCGATAGCTTGGACGTCTTTGACGTGCGAGTAGCGGTCGAAGATCTGTCTGATCTTAGCCCTCAGGGTCGGGTAGGGTACGTCGAGTGCATAGAGCTGCATACATGATTAGGATTTGGCAATGAAGAACTAGTTAGCAAATCATCAATCCTCTGTGGGTTCTGAGTCACTCCCTTAGATAAGACACACCTTGCAGATCTCCGGTGCTGCCCGATACCAGTCCCGATAGAGAGACCTCGAGCGAGCCTGTGCGACTGCCAAACTAGGCGAGCTTGATTATCGGCAAGGAGAGAAGGATCCCTCGTGCAAGGGAAACCGAGGGTGATCGAGTGAGTAAGACGGGAGGAAGACTGGAGAGGAAGATTGGCTTTCTGCCCACCTGACTGTCCTTCGTGCCAAGCGGGACGGGATGGTGATCGTGACTGGCTTGGGCATTTTTTCGTGGTGGGTGGTCGGCAGTGATGGATCTCTCTGTGCTGGTCCCGAGCAGCCCGTAGGAGTGGTACTTGAGCCCCCGGGCAACCGAGCTACAGACCCCCGGGGGATGCCGATCCCTGCCGAGCCTGGCCACTTCACCAGAATCTCCCTCCAAATTACAAAAAGTGGAAATCTAATGAAGCCTCGCCCAAGGAGTCCCATATATTGGAAGACTTTAACTGTTATTTTGGGTTCATTCATCAACAATCACATGTTTCAAGACTAATTCCTTCATCTTAATGAAGGACCAACTCCTCAAGTGACGGTCTCCCCATATGTGATGCAAGTGGATCAATTGCACGGGATAAAAAAAAGGAAAACCCATGCAATGTACCCCCCCCAGCAACATCATTGATAATTTGATATACCAAATACACATGGATCCCTAACAAACCAATTCATTCATGAAAAATTTGTGATAGCAATGTTGAGACTGAAAACCTAAAAACCTGTTTCTTCTTCTTCTTTTATTCTTTCGGAAATTATGTTCATACACAAACAACCAAGATATATACACTCGCATATAATCATTCAAGAGAGACTGATCAGAAGGTGAACATGAAAAAAAAGGAAAAAGGACTAATCAACTTCGTTGTTTCGGCCCGCAATCACTGAAGATTAGTATTAATTAATGGTTGTTCTTGTATAAATGATATTCAGATATTTGATTTTTCGCTTTTTTCTGTTGTTTTTATGTGTTTTAGATTTTATTTGGATGATTTATGATAAATGATAAATGGAGAGAAAATAAACCGAATCCTGCCCGTCCTCAGCTCTCTTGAAGAATAAGCCCGTTCTATTTGAAAAAGAAAAAAAAAATGCAAGCAAAAAATCAAGGGAAAAATAGAGGATGTGAATGATCAGAGAACAGTCAATACCCAAGCAGGAGGAAACAGTGAAGACAAGATAAGGTTCAACAAAGGTTTTTTTATTCTTTTCAATAAAACAGAGATAAGCAAAACTTTCGAATGGAGTTATCAATTGAATCAATAGAAAGAACTCGTACATAATCATCATTCTTGTTGTTGTTGCTTCGAAAGAGTTTCTTGGATGTACTCGTTTTCGAACTTGAAATAATAAGCTTCTTCAGTGGGGGGAGAATGGCCGCACATTTCGGCCAATCGGGCATCTAATTCATCACGGTTTTGTTTTTCACAAAATAAAAGCAAAACAAGAATGATTGACAGCAGTATATGTAAGAATACTCTGGCAAATAGTGATTTCGAGACCTTGTAACTTACATTCTTCATCCGAATCTACCCGATCGAAATGTGACATTTGCCATGGAGTTCCATTGGCCAACTCTTCCTTCCTTTTAGCTCTTTGTTCATTCTTAAATAGCAAAAGAAAAAAGAACATTAGACGAGGGACGAGCAAAAGAGGCAGAAGGAGGTAGACTCTAGAGGGAATGATGATCAACGAAACCTCTAGCCTTGATTTAGCCGAACTGGCAGCTTCGAAATCCCCACTGCGAATCCCATCCGCCACATCTTTCCAAACCCGTCGACTTTCGAGTGGGCCTTGTTTAGAGATATCTTGGACGGTGATCTCGTCAAGTTTCTCTTCCGTCTGATCCAAGAATTTCTCTCCTGATCCTTGCCACCATTTAGGCACTTGTTTGACAAACTTCGACAACCCATGCCATTGTCCTTCGATCTCATAAACCGGGCTTACCCCGGATGTGATCTTCGGCTGACTGTATATCTTCGCCGTAAATGAATGCGCCTTCCCCGAAAAATAACCTGTTCATCATCCATCCCAAAAAAGGGAGAAAAAGAATCAGCTTGGCTTCCTCTGTGCTTGTTATTCCAATCCACTTTTCCAGTACCTTTTCCTTTGAATTCCAAGACAGTATGGTACCCAGACGAGGACTGAATGTGAGAATTTTCAGTCAACTCAATGCTGTAAAGTAAGAAGAGCCACCGGAATCAATTATCGATCAAATTCCCATAATGTTGCAGATTATGTTCAATCAGCAGCTTACTAGGGACTAGCCATCCATAGACCTTCGATACGCAGCTTGGGTAGAGTGATCAGATAAGATTCAATAGTGTTATCGGGTAATTTGATTCTAAGAAGTCCATGTCCGACTTGTTTGACTGAGCACATTGGTGCCAGGGTGTCACAGAAGCCATATCAGGGATATCGGGATTGAAGAACACATATCAAGCTTGTAAGTACGTCATCAATTTTCGAATCTCATGGCCATGAGACAAACATACCAATGACACTTTTCCCACTAAACGAAGTCTTCAAGATCAACCAAAGTGCTCAAGTTAAAGTCAGATTGATCAATCGCTCCAAATCGGACACAAAACATGTTTTAAAGTTTGATGATGCTTGTTTACCTTTTGACCACAGTGGCCTTGATAAGAAACCCCTGCTTTGGCATTTATCAAGCAATAAGCTGACACGGGTGGATGACTGTAAAAAAGACACACATATACCAGATCAGTTAATTGGTTATTGATCTCTTTTGGAATTAGAAAAGGGGAGAGATTGAAATGATTCAGAACGGGTTTTGCCAGGCCGAACTTAACTGAGAGACCTGCTCCGTCCATAATCTTAGTTCTCCAGTACTGTTTTCATCAGTAGAGGGGCCGGAATTCCAACTGCCTAGGAAGAGTTCTCCGAGGATCGGGTTTAATGGTTTCTCTTGAATCCGAACAAGTCACGCACAGAAAGGTAGGTATAAAGTGTCAGACATTTATTGAGCTGATCGTGCCAAAGTCAATGGTTTTGATGTAAGATCATGTACGTAGATATAGAGTGAAGCAATCGATTATGTACTTTCTGTTCCAGTCTGAGTCTCTCGTCTAGTAAATTGACCTTTCAAAGTCGAGATAAACCAACTGTATAAGTCAAGTCATCGTGGAAGATAATCGACATGATCAGCGAGTAATTTGGTAGAGCTCATTATCTTCTTGAAGAGTTCGAGATGAGAAGTACCGGAGCGTCAAGACCATACGTTCCTCAGGATTCTTTCCGGTCGAAATAGCCGCAAATTCTCGATGTGGCTCTCCCTAGATCAATCATTTTTTTTTTGTTGCAGAAAATAAAAAAGGGGAAAAAACAGTCAGATGAAGAGATTCTTGTATTGTCATTCATGATTGCTCTGGGCAATTGAATGATAGTTGAAGAAATCGAATTTGACGTTAAGATGTTAGATGTGTATATGCGATATGGGTGTATGCGGCTATTGATTTATTTTTTGTTTCTTCTTGAATAATAACAGACCCAATATGATGGAAATTCACATAAACTTGTAGGACTGAAAAGAGGTACAAAAAAACATGAAGTAAGTTATGGAGGTTTTAATTCATTTAGGTAGATTTCAAGTAGTTTTTGCTGACCTGAGTATGAACGAGGGAGCGGTTAATGAGCTCAGATCCCCAGAAAAGGTTGCGATAGATTTCAAGAAACTCGTCCACGAGCTACAAAGCACAGAATTCAGCTTTTTAGAGTCAGATGACTGCTTGAAAGAGAGATATTTAATTCACCTTCGTTGGTTGGTGGGTACTACTGCTTCTTCCTCGGTGGCCATTTCGATGTTTTTTATTTCTGTGCAGTTGTGTGCTTGGTTTTTCGTCTGGGATTGTGTTGTTGGTTTTCCTTGAGAGTTGAGGTTGGAATGGTGTGGAGGAGGGATGTGAATAGATATACTGTACTGATGCCCACTGATTACATAATCACTCCTGCCAACAGAAAAATCGCACTGATGACATAATCAACCAGAAACTCGTCAAGGCTTGAAGAATCTCCGAAGTGAACTCCTCTCTCCGGACAAAAAAATCACCACATCCATGATCCCAATAACTTTCATCATCATCTACCTACTGAAGCCTGGACCTCCTAATGGATATTGACATACATAATCATATCCATAGTCTGATATGCCATGTGTTTAATTACTGGAGGGGCCCCAGGTGTGTATGAAGCATATACATAATAACGGATACCAGTTTTACAATTGGGATATGAGCTCTAGATGATTGATTGGTTGCTTCTGGTGCACCAAAGATATCTCCCCTGTAGAGAATTTTCGCCACAGCCAGTGGTCTGTCAGCTATGTGGTTTCCCACTCTGACGGAAACTCACACAGCAAAAAAGGGACTGGTAAATTTGGACTCTAGCCAGAGAAACAATGGGGCAACATCAGATATTTCTGATTATCTCTTGGCATCTAGTCTGCTGAAATTCATTTCTTTTTCTTTGAAAAACACATTGGTAATTGCAGCCTGAATTCCATTAAACCAACATTTTGGGTTTGTTGGATGCAGGAGGAGAGGAAGATGCAAATAAGCTCAGAGTTCAAAACACGCCTGTGCAGTGCCAGAGACACGCCTGGATGAGAGAGTATTTTTCCTTTTTTACTGAGGAAAAATAATTAAAATTTAATGTCTACATACATACACCTCAGAATATTTTTTGTTGAGCAGGTTTCGCCGGCTTCGCAGTTGCTTTGATGCCGAAACACAAACACATGCATACATAAGAAGCTAGATACCCAAAGGCAAGACAAGCCACAGCGAGTAAGATTTTGCATACATGACTAAACTGACCAAAAGTGTCTCTATATGCTTTTTAGGGTGTCCAGGAGTCAGGACGCATCTGATGACGAGCATTTTGCGCTGTTTTTCCACTCAGAACGTGTTCTCGGCCCCTGCCTTTCAAGCTTGGAGAAAACCCAGGCCTGAATCTGAGCTGGAAAAATCAGATCAAGAAAAAATCATGCATTTGCTAGTTAGATTTTCGTGTTTCTGTCCTGTCCTTTGTTGCTTCGCAAGAGTTTTGGCCAAATTCAAGTTCGATCTCAACCTGCCGGCAGATGTAGAGGAGATTTCCGGGGAAGAACAGCGATTGGTGGCTGATCATCATGATCCCTTTCCCCCCTCACCGCCGGATTCTTCGACGCCATCTTCAAGTGTGACATCACCACAGGCAATGGGCGGAAGCAAACGCAAGTGTGGACCAGAGGAAACTCACAGGTTCAGCAATCTTTCACCTTCGAGACTCCCTCGGCAACATGATATTCAGGCGCCTTCGACTTCCAATAAAAGACAATTCACTCGACTTCAACGTTAGTCAATATTAGTTCTGCTGAAACTTGGCCGTTGAGCTGACTTAACCCCATAACTGACTATGATTCACAAATGCAAATTGCCTCAACCAACGCTATACAGAAGAAGCAGCCCCATCTAGGAGCAACTCACTCTCTACTCAGCCGGCGGACAACGCCATTGAGTCGGGGGTGGGCGAGTTGAGGAACAAGAAAGCTAATCCCAATCTCGTCCGCCCGGATATATTGTACCTAAGTGGTATACCCAATCACTCAAGATGTCTACTTGGTGATGTTTCTAAACATTGGTTCTCGCTATTTGAAAGCATAGTGAATTCCAAAGAGCTCAAATCAGCTCCGAGGCCAGCAAATATCGTCCACCCAGATTTGCCGTTTGCAATGGTCCAACCCGCCGATGGACGCGAAGGCAGAGTGCTGAGAGTCATGCGCTACGAGGATGCTGCTAAACGGAAGCTAGCACTCCCGCGCCCTCAGAATTGCGTTTCATTTGGTAGAAGATTGATAGTTTATCTTAATCACTTGCATCTAGAGGTTATGGAACGTTTGGGACTACCAGAATCTACACAGATACTGTTGCACGACGATTTGTTGAAATGGGTGCATGGCGAGATCTTCCATCCTAGTGATCATGTTCTTCCGGTGCTGGGGACCATCGATAAGCCCTACCAGTCATGGGAAGAGATCTTGGAATCGAATAAAATTGGAAAGAATCAGGAAGAAATCATCAAATACTTCTCTGGATATGGCAAACACGAAGAAATAACCAAGATTTCTGTATATCTATTGGAAACTTATCAGGATCATCATGAAAGTGAGAAAATTTGGTTCTTTCAGAAGGAGGAGATTTCCAATCTTGATACAGGAACTGATTTTAACCATTTACATCTATTTCATTCTTATGAATTTGTTTCAATGAACAGATTTTTATCTGCCCTCAAGTTATCTTGGCAAAGAACATGATTTATCTGTTCTTTCATCATTGAAGTAAACTCTAAAATGATTGAATTTTTTTTCATGGGGGGGGGTAGGGATAAGGGAAACACCACATTCTTTAATTTCAGGATTGAGAAAAATCCTATTCTCAGATTTCCTCCAGAAGATCATCCTCAATGGAAAATTATCTTCTTTAAAGATTTCAATAAATGTCCTTTTAGGAATTAAATTTGGGGACAATCCCATACTGATGATAGTAAATCTAATTATTCAGCATTGAGAGAACCTATTAATTTGAGGTGCAATGTTCTTATGGGAACCATTTGGAGGAAAAAGTTTTGGATCCTCATAACAAGGAAGTAGATTTGTGGACAGCAAAAACAAACCCTGCCCCTTCTGCAAAAGTTCCAACTTTCAGCTGTGTACTTGCATGTGATAAGCATGCTAATCACACATAATTTCAATGGTTAGGTGCTTCATTTGATGGAAAACACAAGTATATGCAGTACATCCAATTATAATCCATCTAGAAGGTTGGAAATCCTTTTTAATCAGAAACTCTTTTTTTACTTGACACCATGAGAATTGGAATGTCACTTGAAGTGAAATCAAGGAGGCTTGGTGGGAGCCTTCACTGAGGCTTTTGTGAACAATTCTGTTGCAAGTGTCCAAACCACCACACCACTCTTTTTTCTACTAGTGCAATATATTCCATGTATGTTAGATATGTGTTAGATAATCTTTAAGTGAAGAATGAACCAAGCGACACATGCAACCTCTTGATGTCACTCTTCAGAAAGAGACACAACTTTTTTTGTGGTGTGATGTAAACCATTAATCCTGCAACACCTGATGAGGTATGATGGTGGTGTCAATACAAGTTAAATATGAAACATGATTACATAAGGGAAACAGTGTGGGAGAGAGCTTGATATTTAGTGTCTGCATTCAACAAGTGATCAGGAATTTGTCACAATGACAAGATGTCACAACCAGATGTCATATATTTTAAATGGGTGGTGATTGAGTTATGATCTTGTAGAAACAAGAATTGGTCATTGAGTAATGAACTCCATATCATCACATATTAGATTTGTCAATATGAATAGGGTTCAAGTACACCAAATAACTCAGCAAAATTAATTGCAAGTGGGTCCTGTGCTTCATCTCCTCTGATTATTGATTGCTGTTAGATCTCAATCTAACACAATTGAAATTCAAACATGAGATTCTAAATTTTCAACTGAGCATGATAAGATTTTGAATGAATTTAAGACTGAAACACTAAAAATTTAGGTTTCATACCAGCACCCAAAACCTTTGTCAAGGAATTAAGCTGAATCAAGCCATTCTCTAACCTGATTTGATTTCTTGATCTTTGGGGTTACATAAATCCAATGATTTCAAACATCTGACCCAGACCATCCAGATTTATAAATTTACACAAAAAGTACTTAACTGCACTACAAAAAGTCTTGAATTGCATTCTGCGGATGTGTGGTAAAATTGCATGTCACATGTGATGTTACCTGATCACATTTGCAAAATGCAACTGAATTTTTTGGCACTACAAACTCAATCACATTTTGCAAATGTGAGGTGAAATCACATGTGACATGCGATGTTATCCCACATTTGGAGAATGTGATTCAAGATTTTTTGTAGTGCTGGTGTCTGATTGAATAGGGGGGTTGATGATTGAAATTTATCAAATTCCAGAGCCCATGTTAAGGTGTTGATCAATTCCTTTCTTCAAAAATTAAAAGGTTGTACAGATTCTTCAGAAACCCCCAAAACTGCTCACCTTGTAAAATCCTTAAAATGTTGTTAATAAAGGCCTTAAGATGGGCTCTAGCAATTGATAAATGTCAACAATGAACCCCACTAATGTTGTTAATCACCCACACAAAAAAGCAAAATTAAAAAATACAACTTAGGAGGTAGATAAACATGCTTATATCAACCTGGGGTCAGCTTGTATCAGAATGTGCACTGGACTGAAAAGACTTTGAGAAAAGCCTTCAGTCAGCTAGGTTTTATACTTCAGCTATCTGATTTGTTGCTCCTTAACCCCACCTAAAGCTGGAAAAGCCAAGCAAAAAAACAAATGTCAAGTTTTTTCATTTAATCAAATACCAAAAACACAATTGTAACACTTTTATTCCCTCCAAATAATATAACTAGTTCCTCAGGTGGAGCCAAAAACTAGTTTAAAGCCATAATTTGTGGATCTCTATGAGGCATACCAAACCTAAATTTGGATCAATTGAACCAACAAAAATCAATATGCTTTGAATATCCCAAACACCTAGACTCTGGGAATTGTGATTAATGCAAGTCACAACAGACTGCATGTGTCATAACTCAACATACTGCACCCAAGTGGTGCCAAATGGGCAACATCACAGCTTTGTTATGGTGATGTTAAGATTGGTTATGTTTCCAGTTTTTTTGATAAAACAATCATCTACAAATTTTTGTCATTAGTGTGGCTCATTCAAATTTTAAAGCCCATTTTAAGGGGTTTATCAACAACTTTTCCAAAATTTAGAAAGTTGTGCAGTTCTATCAGAAACCCCCAAATCTGCCCAACTCATAACTTTTTTTTAAAAAAAATTTTGTTGATAGAGGCCTTAAAATTGGCTCTAAAAATTTATAAGTTTCAATCATGAACCGTCCTATTGTTGAACGCAGTTCTGGAGAGTTCTGACCAATCAGATTCCGAGGAAGCGCGCGCGATACAAGCTGTTCCAGCTCGCGTCAGACACGTCCAAGCAAATTCAAGGCGTGAATTAGTCGCGTCGATATATGCACAGCAGAGAGACCCCAACTCTCGAACTCAGTCTGTGAGCCTGACATACAAACAAATAGATGTATAAAGATCTGATCTGATATCTACTCACCGATTGGACATGCAATATTCATCCCTCAAGTGAAATTTCAAGCATTAATATGGGGTCGCAACTGCAAGCATGTGCTGTGTGTAAACTACAACAAGCCGAGTGTGTGACCAAAGTGTGAGTGTTTGCGTGTCAAGGATGTCCTTGACTCCTTCGATGTCCATGAGGCTTTTTGCCTGATCATTGTGGTTGAACAGCGCGGGATGTCACAGATTCTTTCAGCATACATAGCGTCCGACGTCCACGCTTAACACAGATATATCTTGCACCAACCATGTGTGTTGATGATTTTCTCTGGGGATCCGTCGCACATACCGAACGATATTAAAGGCTCAAAAATGGTTGGGCAATGGTCTAGTGAGCTTTGTCCATTCGTGCTTGTTTTTATTCTTGTCAAGGGACTTGAAAGATTAAGAGAGAAACTGAAGTTGTACTCAAGGATTTTGATCGTTTGAGCAAGCCCAACGATGACGGCTCATGGTGGAGTGCCCCATCCAGGTGCATGGGCATTGAAGACGGACTTTATATAGAGGCGCATCCTGCCTGAAGATACCCGGGCGAGAATACATTACGAGACTCGTTTCCTCCGCCATCAATTCGGGATTTGGGATAACTTGTGTTCAGCCTCCGCCGTCCGGCTAGGTTTTTTGAATGCTGAACGAAGATGGCTCGGTGATGTTTGACTGGGCGAGGGAAACAATCGACGACATCATGATGTTATATTGAACGCTGGGACTTCATATAACCGCCTGCAGAGTACACATATCACTGCTATGTGTTTAAGCATGT